GATCTGTTCCTTCCCTCCTGTCTTCAAATCCCTTGCTCTCTTTTAGGGTCCAAGACAGAGAACCTGGGTTTGAAAGTCTCTTGGTCAGTAACTCCCCAGCGGTATTTCTGCTAGGGGCCTTAGTTTCCTCTTCTATACATGCAGTGACAGTGCCTGTACCAGACAGACTGTTGTGAAAATTGAATGATGTGGGGGATGTGAGAGGGAAGTGTCAACCTTATAGGGACACACAGTAGGGAGCGGATAACAGTGCAGTTGTGTTTATGTTTACCTGGGATCAAGGAACTCAACAAGATTCTTCTTGTCTCTCAAGGGCCAGCTTGACACTTCCTGATCAGAAAGACCCTCCTCCATCCCTCCTGGCAGAGCTCCCATGCTAGCACCCTCTCCCTCAACTGCCCAGGCCCCCGCAGGCCCCTCAGGCCCCTGCGATGCCTCTCCCTGACCTCCGAGTGGGGCTGGGACTAAGGAAGGGCCAAGGAGACTCCCTAATGCTCTTTTAAGGCAGCAGGGTCAGAGAAATATGTGAGTCACACAAAGAATTCTAAATTTTCTAGTAAGCACACCTGAAAGTAAAAAGTTTTAATTATTTTACTCAGTATAGCTAAAATATTCTAATTTGGCCATAAAATAAATATAAAAAATTAATAATAGTTTCCATTTCTTATAGTTAAGTCTTCAGAATGCAAGGTATATTTTGCACTTGCAATATATGTCAGTTGGTGGCAGCCACCCGCCTCAGGTGTTGTGGCACTGTAGTGTAAATGAGTGATTTTGCCCCAGCTGAGCTAGTCACGGAGGTTTCAACAGAGAACAAGATAGAGTCAGTGGGATTGCTGCTCTTGCAGAGCTCAGGGTCCAGCAGGGAAGACAGACATGGAGTAAGGATTGACTCAGACTTAAATACATACAAAGTGATTTCTTTATGTTCTCCAAAAATCAATCTAATTTCCACTCTGAGTGCCCATCCTATCAGATCATCCCGGAACTCAATTTCTGCATTTCTCACCAAGGTGAAGCAAAAGCCCTGAGATCTTACCTAGTGTCCAGGTGATAGGGTTGCCTTACCTCCATCCAAACGTCATTATCATCAACTCTCTCTGGACTCCATGGTAATGCCCACCTGTCACGCTACATGGTGTTCCTTAGCATACTTGGAGCAGAGATGTCTTGTTGTGGTTGAGAACATGGAACCCCTGCCTTATTAAGAGGGCCTATAGCTTGCTTCTGTAGACGTGACCTGCTTCCTGCACCCTATCTCAGAAAGCACTTGGCTCCCCACAGCTTATGGAACCCACAGGTTACTCAGTGCCTACCCTCTCCTGCTTTCCAATTTTCAGTTGTAAAAAGGGTAACATTCTCTTCCCCTCACTCCTGAAACACCCAAGAGAATCTTCTTAGCAGATTCAAGCTTTGGAAGTAGAAACTAGGAAAGAAAACCTCTCAGAGTTAGCACTTTCTGCCCCGCCACAAACCTCTCCTGAGTCCAGGAGATCCAAGCATGATCCCTGCTGCAATGAAGGAAGAGAAGAGAAGAGAAAAAGAGAAAGAGAAAGACAGAGAGAGAGAGAGAGAGAGAGAGAGAGAGAGAGAGAGAGAGAGAGAGAGAGAGAGAGAGAGGAGAAAGAGAGAGGAGAAAGAAAGAGAAAGAGAAAGAGAAAGGGAAAGAGAAAAAGAAAAAGAAAGAGAAAGAAAGAGAAAAGCCCACAAGAGGGAAACCCACAGGAATGAATATTTGAATGAACTGCCCTGCTGGGACAGGTCAGGCTTTGGGCCAACACAGGGATGGAGGCAGAAGATCTGGAATAGGAGATGCACACAGAGGAGGCCAAGGAGCTTCTGAAATGTGAAGAAACCCAGCATTTGCATCACAAGTCTCCCCCCACCAAAACGAGATGGGATGAGAAAAATGCGTCAGACCCTGACAGGGTAAGGACAAGGGGACCTCAAAGAAGCAACATAGATGGCAAAAGATCAGACCAGGGGAGCCCAGGGAGGCTCTCCAGACCAATGGATGGTATCCAGCATCCTGGACCAGCTTCCAGTTACGAGGAACTGACTTCCTCCCAAGGCAGCCTGTTCTAAACAGTTCTTTACACCGGGTTACAGCTTCTTCCACTGAGTGTGTTCTTGTAACTCTGACCTGCATAGAAAAAATAATGAAAGCAAGGCTAGGATAGCCCAGTGGTACAGACCTGGATCTAATCCCTAGCACTGGAAAACACACACACACACACACACACACACATGCACGCATGCACACACGCAGAGTAATGAAATAAGACTCCAGTCCATCACTCATATTCAAATGACCCTGCATCAGTAACAACTTCTCCAAACCTAACTTCCTCATCTAAAAACTGTGCACATAATAGCCCCTGCTTCCCAGGGTTTTGTGTAAGAGGAAGGCAGGTAGGCCAGCCTGGGCACCTACTGTCCTGGTTACTGCCTTCGTCCAGGGTGAACCAACCAATAGGAGTCCTGTAGTCTGGGTTCTATCTTAGCTGAGTTGCTTAGCAGTTGTGTGAATTGAAGTTAGTTACTTCATCTCTCTGTGCCTCAGTTTTGTAGTATGAAAATAAAAAAAAAAGGATGAGTTATGCATTCATTGATTCAACAGTATAAGTCCAGGGAGCAAGCGCTTAGTGGGCATTAAACAATCTTTTTTTTTCTTTGTCACTATACATTTGCAATAGGTAATGCATACATTTATTGAGTCCTTTTCATCATTCCCCTCCCCTTCTCCCCCCCTCTCTACATTCCTTTCCTATTGTAAACCGTCCACACCTCTGTTTCCTATCATTCGTCTTTTATTTTGCTCTTTAAATTATTTATACTTTGGCTTTCTTATATAAGACAAACCATTCAATATTTAACCTTCTGTGTTTGATTTTTTTCCACTTAGCAGTATTTTTCCACGGTGCATCGTTCTCCTACATATGATTGAGATGTATCCATCTATGTGGCAGAATAATGCTCCACTGTGGATATAAAGCACATTTTCTTTGTCCACCCCTAAAACACATTTTCTTTGTCCAGCCATATAGGCTGTCTCCAAGACTTAGCTATTTATTGTGAGATGTGTTGCTATAAACCTGAGTATACCTGTATCATTGTAATATGATGTCTTTAACTCTTTCAGGAAGATACCCAGAAGAGATACAGCTGGGTTGACTAGAATTTCTACTTTTACTTTTAAAAAACCTATCCATACTGATTTCCATATGGTTATATTAGTTTACATGTCCAACCAAACTGTAGGCGAGTTTATTTTTCCCTATAACTTCATGAACATTTCCTGGTTTTTGCTTTTTGTTTTTTGAGTTCATAATGATGGCTATTCTTTCTAGACTAAAATACACTCTCAGTATTGCCTTGACTTCCATTTTTCTAATACTCAAAAGTCCTGAATATTTTTCATGTATTTATTGGCCATTTGAACTTCTGAGAAGTGTCTATTCATTTTAACTGTTCACTTTTTGGTTGAATCTTTTTTGAGAGGTGTCTACTTTTTTTTAGTTCTTTGCATATTCTGATATTAATCTGTTTGAAGAATAGTTGGCAAAAATTTTACCCATTCTGTAGGCTGTCATTTCACTCCTTTTTGTTTCCTTTGCTGAGCAGAAATTTATATAATATGATCCTATTTGTTCATTTTTGGTGTTGTTTCTTGTACAATTGGGGTTATGTTGAGGAAGTATTTGCCTATGCCATGTCTTCAAGAGTTTTACATATTTACCTTCCAGAAAATTCAGTGTTTCTGGTTTAACATCTAAGTCTTTGATACCACCTTTTATTACTTCTTCCCTTCTTCCTGACATGCAGAAAATGTTGATCATGCCCACACAGGCAAGTCCTCTCTTCCCCAGACCTTCCGTTGGGAGCCATGTGGAAGCTGTACTTACCTGGGTGAAGGGATCCATTCCACTGTCCCTGGGCATCTTCATACTCTGGGCCCAGAGAAGGACACCCCCTCTGGGTGTGACCTGACTTCCTGGAGGAGGGAGGGACTGTTGTTTCTTACCTTCTCCCAACTTCCTGTCCTAGCAGACAGTAAAGAACAGGACAGGTTTGGAGAATCATACCACCCCACCTTTCGGAAGGCACAGTTCACTCACTGGAAGTTCCTACTCCTGGTAGCCCTCCAGATGATGACTGTCATGAGTAACATAATGGTTAAAGATAGAGGCATACGAGCCATGATATTGTTGAGGTTGATGTTGACGGTGATGGTAAAAGTGGTAAAGATGTTGTCAATGTGACAAGGACATTAATGATGATGGGAGTGATGGAATAGGTGATGGATGGAGGCACTAATAATGACATGGATGATGATTTAGGAAATATTATTGGTGACAGTGAGGATAATGGTGATTAGATTATGAGTTGATAGTATTTCTAGTGACACTGGTGGTGTGGGTGGCAGTGGTGATGGAGATGAGCTTGGTCATAGAAATATTAGTGAAAACACATGTAGCAATAATGGCCATGCTACACACAGTGATATGATACTGATTTTGAAGGTCTGAGTAACAATGATAACGATAATGATAGTGCTGGTGGTGGTAATCAAGATTAAGACAATGATAATCATTATATCATAAAGGTATCATAATGATACCTTTATTCATCATGAATAAACTGGTCACTTACTCAGGATATTTGTGATGTAACAGGGATGATATTTAACAATAGGAATAATAATTACAAAGATGGTAATGGTGGTTATTTGAGTGGTAACATTGGTAATTATTAGGATGTTAATGATTGTGATGATAAAGTTTAATCACAGAAATTTTATTCCCTCTTTCAAAACTCCCTGTTGAATACCTTTAGGCCAAGGACCAGTAGAAAATTTGCTGGGCCCCATTATCCCTCCTGTGGTGACAAAATTTCCATCCTTCATGTCTCCTCCCAGAGTTCCCTTACCCAGCCCACAGCCATCTCTCAGTAGGACCTCTGGTATTCAGCTAATTACCCTGGAGTGTGTATCTCTCCAGGTTGAGGATTCTCCCTCTGAACAGAGCCCTGGGAAATCCTCAAAGAAGCAAGATAACCCAACCCAGATGGCACTAGACCTGACTGTGATCCAGTTCATTAAAGGTAAGTGGCCTTGTGCCAGGATTGAAGAAGGCAGGCCAGAGGCACCATCAAGGTTATACAAGATTCAGCCCCTTCTTGCTTTCCTTGATTATAATAAGCTCCTCAAGGCATCATACACTCCTGTGAATTTTTGCCCCTGCAGTCCTCTCTGTCTGAAACATTTTTAATGTCACCTATCAAATCTGTCCTCATCACTTCTGTTAGTTTTTTGTTGCTATGAGAAAATACCTGAGGAAAAAAACTTACAGGAATAAAAACTTATTCTGATTCATGGTCTCAGAGGTTTCAGTCCATTGTTGCCCAGTTTTATTGCTTTAGGCTTATGTGGCAGGCAGCGGTGGTAGAAGAAGGCTGCTTACCTCATGGTAGCTGGAAAGGAGATAAGGAGAGAGGAGAGGCAAGAGAGAGCCAGAGACAGAAGTAGAGAGGCCAGGGATATGATATATGTATTTTGTAAAACCATAGTCCCAGTTACTTGCTTCATCCAGCTCAGCCCCATCTCCTAATAGCCCGTTTGCTATGAACCAATCAATGGAAGCCATCAATAATGTTAACATCTTCATGATATGCCCTACTGGGATCAAACTCTCCACATAGGAGCCTTCGGGGAACACTGCATATTTAAGCCACAATGTCCCTGTAGGTCAAGGGCAAAATCCAGTCTCTTTCACCATGCCTAGCTCTCCCAGCTATCAGAGCTGCTTCCCTCCATCCTCTTGCTGCTTTCCCTTCCAGATTCTATAGCCACTCTAATCTGTGCCATGTGCTTGTCCAGCCCTTCCTCCAAATGGTAAGCTCCTAAAGGTCACGGCCTATGCCCTTCCCCGCCTACCCACCACTGGTCCTGAAAACAAAGGCCTTCAGGAACTATTTGTTAAGTTTCCAGGCTGTGGCATGGATGAAGGGAGCTCTGAGCTTTTGTTCTGGGTCCTTGCTCCTCTTTGGGCCTCAGTCTCCCCAGTATAGTTTCTCAATATAGTGAAAGGTAGACTGAAAAGTAGAAGATTCTTGCAGCTCTGATCCTGAGACTGAACTAGTCAGGAACCCGAGTCCTCCTTGTGCCCAAATCCCAATCCCATGAACATTCATTGAGTGTCAGGCTCCTGAAGAACACTGAACAGCACATCAAAAGACAGCGTACTGAGGCCTGGGCCACATCGACTGGTGTACATGCCTGTAGAGTTACTTTACTTTGCTGACCTGCATGTCCTCCTCTGAAAGATTGAACCAGTAATGCTTGTTCTGCCACTTCCAAGATATGAGAGTAAAATAGTATGATATATAGAAAGTCCCTGTATACTATTTAAACAGCTGTACTTCTGTAAAGTTCATTTATTTCCATGATCTTCCCACACTACTGTTCTCATTGTGACCACACCCTGGGAAAGTAAGTAGAGCCACCTCTGCCGCAGGAGGGTGCTTAATCTCTCACTGAGGACTTTTGCAACAGGAAGGAACTGGCCCCAGTTCTTGGAAGAGGTTTTTAAGACTTAATACTGCAGTACCAGTAGTACAGTGCCCCGTGTTCCAGCATCCCCAGGAAGTAAAGCCTGGACTCCATGGGGTCATGCCTGGAGCGGGGGACTAGTCTTGCTAACTTAGGTTACCCCAGCTGCTGGAAGTCTCGGCACAATGCACCAGAGAGAGCTTATTAATCACTGCTTTGGCTCCTGCCTAGAGAGATGCTGGAATTGGTTGCTGAAACTGAATCCTAGAGTGGGTGTTCCAGGTTACTGACAGTTTCAGCTTCTGTAGGTTCCTCCCAGAGACCAACGCAGGGCTGACCAAGGGTCCTGTAGCTGGTTGAACATCTGGCCTCTAGGCTTCTCCTGAACTTCAGAGGAGGCCTGGCTTTGACCTTCATGGAACCATGGGGAGAGGCTCAGGCTCCTGACTCACAGAGCCCTAAATTGAGGGAGGACCTATTCTATTTGAGGGATGCCTGGCCTCTGAGATGAGTTATGAGGAAGATATAATTGCTGAGTTGCCTGATAGGCAGACATCATACTGGGCTGAGGAAAGCCTTGTTTTATGGGAAGACTTGCTTGTGAGCTGGAAGCAAGCCTTGGAATTACCCTTTAGGTAGCACCATCTAAACAAATTGCATAGCCCTGCCCTCCAGGAATTTTCCATCTGTCCTAAAGAAGGCCACGGATGCCAAGGAGAGGTGGAGGAGGGGCACACAGTGCACTGCAGCGATTCCTGCAGCAGGAGGGAGCCCTCTGAAGTCAGGCTGCCAGGGAGGACAAGGCTGGAGAGGGAGGCAGGGGACATGGCAGGGGAATGAGTAAGAGTCAGCAGACCCGAGGGACCCCTGGACTAGCCCTTGCCTCTCGGGATGAACTTAGGCACATCCCTACCCTCTCCAGGCCCCACTTACGATGAAGACATTCATACTACTTGGGCAAAGCTAGAGTAAAATCCCCTGGCTTACATGAGGAATCAAGGGAGCAGGAAACTGCAGTACTACGTGAAGTGAGGGCCAGGACCACACTTCAAAATTCCAAATTCCAAAATTCCAAATTCTGGCAGGGTGCATGGTGTACATGGCAAGGGATTAGGGACAGGAGGCAGGCTTGGAACACAAAGAAGGGGGAATTCCACAGCCCTGTGCCTCATCTGCCCTACCTAGCCCATTTGTCTGTATTTCCTGGCTCTTAAGAAAACAGCTCCTGGGCTGGCTAAGCCCAGGGTTCTAGACAACTAGCTGGTCCAGCCATGCTCTAAGGACAGACAGAGCTCATTCCCAATGGGAGAGATCCTGGTCCTGCCACTGTAGAGGTGTGACCTTCTGGCCCAGAGTACCCCATTGTCCACCTCTCCTCTCAGCCCTGACTGGCAAATGGTTTGCTTCTTCTAGGAAAGTTTTCGCCCTCTCCACCACAACTGTCACTTCAGTCCTACCTGCTCCAGGCAGAAGCACAGCTATCCTCTGATGACAGTGGAGTGAGGTTCACACAGGTCAGGACAGACATGCCCTTGTATATGCCTGCGCTGTCCCTGAGGGCACTGAGGCCCAGAGCGAAGAGACTCATCCATCATTGTGCGCCCCTCAGTGCAGCAGGTTCAGTTCTCCTTCCCTCTGTCTATCTCTCCAAAGCCCCCCATTCTGTAGGTCCTATCTCTGCTCCACCTCCAGGCACCCAGCACCAAGTCTTCTCAGCTGACACCTCTCTGGAGCCCTTAGATTCTGTCTCAGAAATTTTGACATTTGATTATGTAAATCTATTATAATCTATATAATTATAATTATAATTATAATCTATATATCCAGTCATTTATTCCTTCATTCCACAAATATTTATTGAGTACTTACAATGCTGCAGGCTCCATAGATTCAGCAATTAACACAGAAAAATTAAATAAACCTTGCTCTAAAATTTTAAAAAGTGGAGTACTGTGCATGGTGCCACATGCCTGTAATCTCAGCACTTTGGAGGCTGAGGCAGAAGGATTTCTGGGAGTTTGAGACCAGTCTGGGGCTACAAAGTATGTTCAAGACCTGGCTGAACTGCACAGAAAGAATCTGCCTCGAAAGAGAAAAAAGAAAAAAAGAACAAGTAAAACAGGTGTAGTAATCTAAATCAATAAAATTGGTAGTTTGATAGGTGCATTGCTCTGGGAAAAATAAAAACTAGGAATGGGGAAATCAGGGTAGGGTTGCAAGGCTGGGTCAAGGGCTTAGGAGGTCCCAGGACTGTGCTGGCTTAGAAAGAGTTACAAGACAGAGCAAGAAAGACTTAGTGTGGGGGAAAGAGGGGCATGATGAGTAGAACTGAAAGAATGAAATGAGACAGGATGGGATGAATGAAACAGAATTAGAAGGGATGGCATGAAATAGAACCATGTGGAAGTGGACAGAACTGAATGGAAATAAACACATTGAATAAAATGCAATCTAATTCAAAGATGGAAAGGAGTCAAATGGGATGGGATAGAACTGGGTATAGTAGAATTGAATGGGATGGGATGGGATGGGATGGGATGAGATGCGATGGGATGGGATGGGAAGGGAAGGGATGGGATGGGAAGGGAAGGGATGGGATGGGATGGAAGGAACAGAACAGGGCAGAATGGGCAGACATGGAGGCTGTGGCTGGCCTGCCCACTCCAATCTCTGACTTCCTCTCCACTTGTCCAACAGCCTTCCCCAGGGTGCTGCTGCGAACCCTGCGCCATCCCATCTTCTTGCTGGTGGTCCTGTCTCAGGTGTGCATGTCATCCATGGTGGCAGGCATGGCCACCTTCCTGCCTAAGTTCCTGGAGCGCCAGTTCTCTGTCACAGCCTCCTTTGCCAACATGCTCATCGGTGGGCTCACCATCCCCATGGCCATTGTGGGCATTGTGGTGGGGGGCATCCTCATCAAGCGCCTCCACCTAGGCCCCATGCGTTGCGGAGTTCTTTGCCTGCTTGGATTGTTGTTGGCTCTGGTGGTCGGCCTCCCTCTCTTCTTCCTTGGCTGCTCAGCCCACCACATTGCAGGCATCAATCTGCAGCCTGAGTGAGTATGTGTTGGGGAAGGGTGCGTGGGCAGGGTGGGCAGTGGTCCTGGGCAGAAGCCAAGACAGTGGGTACCCCTGCCACACTCAGCTTCCTTGTGTCACCCTCTCCTGGCTCACTAGGAGCCAGGGACATTGTCTCTGGAATGCTCTAGTTTTTGCACCTCTAGAAGGCACAGATGAACTTCTTGAAGCCTATGGAGGATTAGAGGCAAAGGAAGAGCAAAAGCACCTGTGGGTCGTACCTCCAGAGTCCTTGCCCTCTGTGCCCAGCTGAAGTGGGTCAGAGGCCACATGGTAGGAAACAGGACCCAGCTCAGCCAGAGGAAGGTTTTTGCTCCCAAGCAGAGGTTAAACCTGCCCAGAAGAGAACAAGCACCAACCCAGGAGAGCAGCCGAGGTGGGAAAGAGGCTGAGCAGGGGCTGGGCGGCCCCTTCACAGAGGCTGCGGAGGAGAGTTAGGCAAGAGACAGGGCAGACTGGAGTCATCTGAGATTCTTGGCTCCTAGACACTGACAGCTAGCATTCTGTTGTTCCATGACCCAAACATTCCAGAATTCTTGATCCTTTTCTCTGAAGCAATGCTATGACTCCACACTTGTACAAAGATTCCTGATTCTTTCTTTCCTGCCCTTGCCCAAAAAAAAAAAAAAGACTCTCGCCCCTTGGGAGCCTTCTAGAGAAGTTGTTGAAAGTTCCATCCCTGCCTCTTCCCCAAAATGATCTCATTTTTCCTGAAAATGACTCCAGGCTTATGGTGGCCTAACACACTGCTAGAATTTCCCCCCTTTCCCTCTCCCACCTACTCTGGGCATCCCCTCCACCTTGCTCAGGCTTCCTCCTCTGGGGCTCCTTCTGCTCCTTCTCCTTCTGCTCAGGGCCCAGGTCCCTCATGTCTCACCCTTACAATCTCCTCTACTCCTGCCTCCTTCCCCTCCCTACCTCCCCTGTCCCTGTTCCTTTTCTGGAACAGGGAGGCAACTTGGCCACCTGCAGCTATGCCCTTCGGAAAGCCCTAGCCTTTGGAGGGATGCAGGTCCTTTCAATGATTTTTAAAGTAAAAATTAAATGGATATTTTATCACAATTTTTTCAACTAAATGGGAAAAGTTAGCGCACTTCTCCTGCCCATCTCTTCTTCTCCTTCTCATTCCTTGACCTTTGACAGCTCAATTTTGTTCTCATCTACATTCCTGCAATTAACTCATCAGGCTCTGGGTTCTAATTCATTGAAGAAGTTTGTGGGAACTAATTGAGATGATCAAAAATACCCTCATCTTTCTGTACAGCTCATGACACAGATAGCAAATGAAGAGTCATATGTACCCAACCCCAGGCCATCACTTCCCCTATTATATCCTTTTAAGTCTCCTTGTACCCATTTTTCAAAAGCAGCCAAGCTTCCTGTGGTCAAGGAGAAAGGAGGGACTGAGGAAGAGCTCTCACCAGCTCTTACACATGTGATCTTCCAGCTGCTGTCAGAAGTTTCCAGAAAGTGCCTCTCTTCTGGCAGCTTCCTCTGGCACAGATTTCTAATGGGTGTGCAGCTCAGGCAGTGTCTGCCTGTGCCTCTTCCCATGGAAGACTCATCAAGACCAAGTTGGAAGCAGGAGCACTGTCTGGCTGGGGTGGGTAGAAGGAGAGGGCTGCACTGATGATCTTGATGATCTTTGTCCACATTCAGAGGGGAGATGGGTTCCCCTGCCTAGGCAGGGAGGGGCTCACCTCTGCCACATGCACCCTGCCCTGCCCCAAGCTTTCTAACACCGTCTCAGCAGTGTTCCTCTCCCAGCGTCCCTGGCTCCTGCCAATCCTGTGCAGAGAATTGAGCATATACCAAGCTTGCCAGGCCCCGAGTCAGCTAACATTTCTGCCATGTGCCCATCCCAAGACCAAGAGGAGAGTCCCTTACTTCCCCTATTAGCCCCTCCCATGTGGCCCCTGGCACCCTGTGACCCTGCACCAGCCTCTCTGGGTCTCTTCATCCTGGCAGGTGTGCTGGGCTTCCCCTCGACATAGACTGTGTCCCAGGGGCCACCTTCATGCCCTCTCCCAGGGTGATCTGCCCTCTCCAACTCAGCCTCTCCTGCCTCTGTCCACCCCTATCTTGCCCTGGCCCAGTGGGCAGGAGCACCCTAGGATTTGAGAGCGGCCCTCCGGAGGGACAGGATGGACTAGACACAGTGAGCAGGATAGTAGGTAGGGCCGAGAGGCTGGGAGACCATAGGAGAGCAATGGGGAGAAAGGCATCCCAGCCTTGCCAACAGTTAGAGAAACTGAGGCCCAGAGGGAGGCAGGAGCAGGTTGAAGATCCCACATATGGTCAGGTCCACTGGATGAATTCCCCACACATGGCTGGACTGTTCTGAGAAGAGAAAGCACCCCAACTCCTGAAAAGAAAGACCACTTCATCCGACACCGAGCTCCCGGTGTTGAGTTCCCTACACAAGAGCCACCAGGGAGCGGGGACATTTGTAGAAGCAGCTCAAAGGTGTGTAGGATCTAGGGCTAGCAGGGGCTCTGGCCATGTCCCAGACTCCCCACTTCAGTGTCAGGTGCCTCCGGAGCTTCAGCCCATCTGCCTGCTCACACTGCCCCATGGGGTGTGGGCCAGGCCCCAGGCTGCCAGCCTGGGGGAGGACAGCCAGGCCAACACTGCTGCCTTCTCTTTCACCAGCACCCAGCCCAGAGCGGAGCTGTTTCCAGGTTGCATGGCACCCTGCTCCTGCCCAGTCGATGGCTTTAACCCAGTCTGCGACACTGACGCCCTTGTGGAGTACATCACACCCTGCCACGCTGGCTGCACGGCCCAGATGGTCCGGGCAGATCTGGATACAAGCAAGGTGAGGGGGGCTTGTGGCACGGCCTCTGCCTCATGGGGCTCACACAGAGCGCACTGCTGCTCATCACACCGATCTCATTCCCCCACTGTGAGGCCCCTACGGGCTGAGTCCTTTGGCCGTAGGATCTCAGCCCCCACCAGTGGCTGGCACAGAAGAAGGGCTGAGGGAAGCTTTGTCAACTACTGCCTGGCTTGTGCCAGCCTCCTCACTGCTCCGTCTCCTATCACGCACTCTGCTTGGCTTCTTCCACGCTAATGTGATGGGAGCACAACTGTGATCCCGTCACGCCCCTCCTTAAAACCCAGCCATGGCTTCTCTGCAGATGAAGTCTTCACTCTTGCCCTGGTGTTCAGGGCCCTTCCTTGTTTGGGCCCACCTATCCATCCATTAATCCTCATGCTACTTCTCTAACAAGATTTTTGCAATTACTTGAGACCCTGTGTGTGTGTAGGTGAATACACACAGGTGTCTTTTTAAATCTTTGCATATACTGCTCCCTCTACTTAGAAATCACTTTGTGTCCAGGTCTTAATTTGCCCACTCATCTTAAAAGATCTGGAAAAATTCTGCTTGAGGGCTTGTGGGATTTCTGGGACCCTCCTTGAAGACTTCTGGGACCCTCAGGGTGGGCTGCCTACTTTCATCCACATCTCTACCCACAGAGACCACTTCTGCCCTGGTCCTTCTACAAGTGATTTCCTCTTGCAGCTTTCTACACATATTTCTGGCAGTCAGAGCTGGCTCCCCTCTCTGGGCCCAGGCTGACAATGAAAGCTTATTGAGGGACTAGTGTCCTACATGCACCAACAGAAGGAAGAACTCAGACAGAGACAGGGCAGAGGGCCAGGGAGCGAGAGAGAAATAAGCATGAAGTGAGACAGACCCATAGAATTCAAGACAGGCGGAGGCTCTGGGAGACTTTAAGTAGTAACTCTTATTCTATCCATTGTACAGATGGGAAATAAAGGCCCAGGAAAGGATTAAGCAATGCCCAGTCTTCATACCATAGCTAGGACTGAGCCAAGGTTCTAAGTGGCAGAGAATACAGCTCAGTAGTGGAGCATTTGCCACCACTGGTGGAATGAGGCCCTAGCTTCAATCTCCAGCACCATGTAATAAAAAATAATACCCTTGAGGCTCTGGCCCAGCCCAGCCACCCTTTGGATCAGCTGCACAGGTCTGGATTGGGGTAGCATCCAAAGCAGAGGGCATCTGAGACCGAGTCAGCACTCAGGGACCTGTAGGCTGCCCCAGAACTGTGTCCTGCCCGTGTGCCTCCTCGGGCTGCCCTTGGTCATCCTTCCACAGGGGTGGGTTGACCCATGCCCAGCACAGGTGTGCTCAGCAACAGAAGGAGAGATGTGGCAGGATCTCAGGCTCTCTAGGTGGGGCTGACTACCCTGGGAGAGAGATGCAGGGGCAGCAGGAGAGACTGGAGGCCACCGTGGGAAGAACTTGCCACCACGGGAAATAGATGCCCATGAGTGAACAATCAGAAAGATCCTGGAGAGGAAAGCCTCCAGCCTAGTGCTGTCCCAGCACCTTTCCCTTGAGCCCAGGATCAGTAGCAGGGGCCTCCTGACCTAGAAGTATTTTTCCACTACCTGTCCCTCTGCCACATCTCCAGGTCACTTAGTCAACAAGCCAAGGCCCCCAAGCCACTTGTCCTGCAGTGTGCGTTGAACTGGTGTGTATCTGGCTCACGCAGCCACATGGCAGCTCAGCTCCATTGCGCACGTCAGCTCTACAGGGCAATGCAGAGAGTGTCCGGCTGCCAAAGCCTCAGGAGAGGGTCTCCTCTCCTTCCTCTCCACCCTCTTCCGACTTCTCTTGTCCCGTCCTCTCCTCTCCTCTCCCCTCCTTTATTTCTCCTCTCCTTCCCCCTCCCTCTTTCTCCTTTCTTCCTTTGATCTCCCACCTAAATCACTTGAAATCAAAATCCCTTTACTCATCCTCCAGCCCACAATGGGGCTCTTCACGCATCTCCCCATCCAATCTGTCCTCCAAGCCATTGCCAGAGCACAAGTACACAGGAGCACTAGGATTTATTTCTGCCAGGCTTAAAATCTCAAATCCCTCCCAAGGTCCCCAGGCTCCACTTCAGGCCTTCTCACTCTGGAAAGTTTCTGAGGCTCCCATGAGTGGAGGTGACAAGCCCAGTGGGCTCCAGCTGCCCTAGGGCCACCTGGAGAGAAGATGAAACCAATCCCTGGCTCCATGTGAAGCACAGTGGCTGCAGTGCACAGGTCTCTTTGAACAGATGAGTAAAACCCAGGCTCCTGGCTTGGCTTTGCTCCTGACTGATGCCTGAGGGCACAGCAGCTGGACTTCTTAAAGAATCTTTGGCTGGAGATTTTCCCTGCCACCAGTGACTCTGAAGCGTGCAATCAAGTACACCGAGGATATCTCTTTGCCACGGATGTGTCCTGTCTAGAGGTGGTGCTCTTCCAGGTCTCTCTACCTTTTTGCTCTGCCTCTCTCCCCGTCATGACCGGAGGCTGATCTCAGCCCAGGCTGCGCAGGGCAACCTGTCTAGGGCCCTCCTCATGCCACCTTCACTCAGTTCCACCTCAGCTGGCTACGGGCCATGAGGAGCCTTCTCCTGCCACAGGCGCCTAGCAGCTGCCTCTTTGGAGGCTCTTGAGATTCACATTCCCCATTTTCCTTCCCAGGTTTTCTATAGCAACTGCAGCTGTGTGGCTGGGGGAGGCCCTGTGCCCGCTGGCTCCTGTGACTCAGCCTGCAGCCACCTGGTGCTGCCCTTCATCCTCCTGGTCAGCCTGGGAGTGGCACTGGCCAGTGTCTCCCACACACCCAGCTTCATGCTCATCCTAAGGTGAAAGCAGGGGCAGGGTGGGCAAGCCCCAAGAGGCCCTTGGCCATAGCCAGGACATACCAAGGCAGGGTTGGACGAAGGGGCACCCAAGTATCCTTGGCCCTCCCTCCCTTGACTTCTTCCCCCTGGAAATCTTCTGAGGTGGTTTTCTCTACATCTTGTAAACAAGAAGACAGAGGCTCAGGAAGGCCAGGAGCTGGCCCCGGTTGTATAGCAAGTGCCACATAAAAAGGACTGGTGCTCCAGCCAGAGCCCAGGCTCTCAGTCCATCCCCACACTTACCGCCCTGTCCTGTTCTCCCCAAGTGAGGCCATCCTACAGTAAGGAGAGGGTGAGCTCCTCCGCCCCACCTGGAAAGGCTGAGCCACAGAGGTCCATCCAGGGAACAAACGGTACCCATGTGGCCCCCAGCCTGCAGGCTCTTCAAGGCAATAGCACCTAGGAAGTGCTCACTGAGCACCCGGCCCATACTGGGTACTGCTTCTTGGTATAAGATCTTCCTGGCCCTTGGTTTAACAAATTTTTGCCCATGTCCAAGTCCAAAGTCAGGATCTCCTGGGATAGAGGTGAGATAAGACCTCTGAGTAAGATAATTCCAGTCTGCTGGGTTTATTTTACTCACCATCTACTTCCTAGAAAATTAGAAGGGAATGGAGCCCCTGGGAGTATTAGATGTGGGAATCTATGAAACAGGCTGACATGAGAGAGATCAGATGACAGAGAGAGCTGAGAATGTAGACTGTGGGCAGAATGAATCCCAGGTATGCCTCCAAGAGCCATGGGACCTTATCCAAGTCATTGAGCCTGTCTAGGTGTCAGTTTGCTTATCTGTGAAATGGGTCTAATAGTCTACCTCCCAGAAAGGCAGAAGTGGTAGAGTTACTCAATGTAGAGTTACTGAGTCCACAGGAAGTGCTCCTTAAGCACTTGCCACTATGTCACAGTGGCAGAGAAGCTGGAGCAGGTAGCTGACTATCCCATCTCCAGGTGCTGCCAAGTATAGGAGAAAGAAGAGAATTTGGTGGGGCCAGGGAGCAGGGAAACAAGGATGGTATCTGTGGCGGGAAGCAGGGCAGGCGGATGTGTGCACAGCACCTTGATAACTGGTTAGTGGGTGTGGACTCTGCGAGTTGAGAAGAGATGGAGTACAGGGCCTGAGCCCCTCAGCTGGACCCTCAGACATGGACAGTGGCAGAGAAGGGTGTGGGGAGAGTCCATGCTGCTCTCGGTCCTCATGTCCCTGTGTCCCTGCTTTTAAGGGGAGTGAAGAAAGAAGACAAGCCTTTGGCTGTGGGCATCCAGTTCATGCTCCTGAGAGTGCTGGGTAAAGAGCCTGGTTGGGCCCTATGTGGTGGTGATGGGGGTCCAGCTGCCCGCTGTGCACCAGACCGAGGCCTGAGCGGATCCTGGTCCCTGACCTGGGGCTAAGGTGTGGGGCAGCAGGTGTCTGGAGGTGGCTGTGTAAGTAGACTCTACGCCACCTGATAGGAGGGAGGCTCCCTCCGGTGCATGGTAAGGGGCTGGCTGAGGCCACATTCCTGAGCCAAGAGACTTCCTGTGGCCTGGGCCCCTTGAGGGCTTGCAGAGAGGCTGGGGGTCTCCCGGCCTTGCTGTCCCCTGAGCACCTCCTCTCTCAGCCTGGATGCCAAGCCCCGTGATCTACGGCAGTGCCATTGACACCACCTGCGTGTACTGGGCCTTGAGTTGTGGGCGTCGAGCCGTCTGCCGCTACTATGACCTTGACCGGCTGCGAAAACGGTGAGATCCCAGCAGGGGCTGTGGGAAGGGTGCTGAGAACTCTCAGGACGCCAGGCGGGGCGCCGGTGGGGAAGCGTTTGAGTGCACCTGCTCGGTGACAGGTGCTGTTTCCAGTGCTGAGCTCACCAGCCCGGTGAGCTGGACAGTTCTGCACTGAGGAAGGGAAGCGAAAGTAGCAGCTCGAGGTCACCCACAGCTAACGGTCCACACAGCTGGGCCTTGTCTGCAAGCTCTCTGAAGACATTGTGGACTTGAGGCCCTGAGGAGATTGGGGAGCAGCTCAGCTGTAAGACTGACTAGAGCCTGAGAGAAAGCCCTAACTGCCCAGGGCTCAGTTTTCCCATCTGTACATTGGGGAACTTAAAAGAATCTGAAGTTTTAGAGGCTGTGGACCTGGGATGGATACAGGGAGGACTTGCTAGAAGGGCCAGGCATAGGGAACAGGTCACTTCCTGTTCTGAAGGACACAGTTCCCATGGGCTAGCGCTGCTGGCAGCAGGAGGGGGACTTCCTAGAAGAGAAAAAAGTCAAAGGGCCTTAGTGAGTTAAGCAAACAGGAGAGGGGACTCCTGTGTTCCTTGTGGAAGATGGGACTATCCCAAGAGGCTTGGAAATAGACAGAGCCAGTCCAGTCATATCACAGTCAAAGACAGGGAACAGGTTTCTGTCCCTGCCCTTGGATCCTTCTGCAGAGCTTCCAGTCTCTTCTTTCAGGGAAGGACCCCAAAAAGGGTCAGTGACCCCCAAACTCAAAGTGTCTACCTGTACAAAGAATAACGTCTACTGACTACTGGCTGCCCACCCAAGGACATCCAGGCCCTGGATCTGTGGTCCTCACTCCAAGGTCCTTGTTCTTCCTCAGGTTTATTGGCCTCCAGTTCTTCTTCCAAATTGGTTCACTCGTATGCTTTGCCTTGGTTTTGGCTGTCCTGAGGCAGCAGAACAAAGAGGAGGAGACCAAGGAGGCTGTGTCCAGCCCTGGCGCACAGCAACAATTGCTAATGTCAGGGTCAGATAAGAAGCCAAAGGACTCCAGCGTGTGAGCTCTCCTGGGACCCACCCTGGCCAAGAGCAGCAGCCACAGTGGTACTTCTTCAGTCGCTTGCCCAAGATTGTCAGGAACACTGTGTCCCAGGTCTGGCCCACCACTAAATTGTGAGTGATTTCATGCAAGCTACTGGCTCTGTCTGAGCCTTCGTTTTCTAATCAGAACCAAGAACTTATTTGGGAGTTTGTGGTATTAACCACTTCTGAAGCAAAAGCATCTTCCCAAGTCCTCCCCCAGCAGCCAGCTGTCCCCAAATCAAGCTTCCTCTGCTGGGAGGACTGCATATGGTCACCTGAGGCCCTAAGACAGAGAAATCGACCAAAGTAGACCAGGCTGTCCCAACACCACACAGTTCTGCTCTGCCTCGCACTCGCAGCACCCTCCCTGAGTCTCAGTCCCCTCCTCTGTCAGGTGGGGCTGGACTCTTTCATCTGTGACCAGCCCAGTGGTTAGGAGACACGGGTCTCCTCCAATCCTCAAGAACTGTCCCTTTGGCGCCCCCTAGAGGCTGATCCCAAAGCTGATTTTTAATTAAGGGGATCCCCACAAGAAAAAAGGAGCTGGCTTCCCACTCAGGACCTTCCACCTTGGCAAAACCCGGGGCTGGAAGGTTGGCGTGGATCTTTGCCTGAAGGGGAGTCTTCCTCTCAAACTCAGGAAGTCCCAGCTCTGGGAGACACGGTTTGAGGGTAAACTCCAACCCCTGCCTTAGTGGCCCTGGAGGAGCAGACTCAGCTGAACACTTGGTCATCTTCCAACTTCAGAGCCCAAACATAATTACTATCTCTGCATTGTCAGAATCTCACACCTTTGACAAGGGGTCCCGGAAGTATCTGTGACTTTTGTGAATAGAATCCTAGTTTCCTCTTTTCTTTCCCAGTGCCTAAGTCCCTGTCATTAGTCCTGGGGAGTTAATGTTCAATGCCATGAGGCTCAAGTTAGTGGTAACCTCTGGTCCTCTGCCTGATTCATTGACTCGATAGACCATGTCTTGTTTTCTGCAGTCTTGTCTGTCCTGTTTATTCCCCAGGGCTAGGAGGGTGTCTCCTGTTTGCTCTCAGTCCTATCTGGTGCCACCTGTACACCCCACCTATTGCCTGTATCTTGGGAGGCGCCACCCTGGGAGCTATTGCTGATGGCACCTTGTGTGCCCAGTCCTGCTGGCTGAGGACACTCATGGCTCTTGGCCTCTGGGCAGCTCCCAATGTCAGAGCTCTGGGGCTTCCCCTTGTGAAAGATGAAGGAAGTATAGAAGGTCTAATTCCTATCTTATTCTGCTGCTTAACTGTAAATGTTTAACAAATATCTGAGCCTGTATTTATCAGTGTGAGGAATTTCAAAGTCTCCTCCAACAAGATGAGGCTTCAGTAGGCTTATATTCCTTCTCCTCCCCCCTGTTGCCCAGGTTTTGCAGATATAATTTGGAATTATAGATACAGCTTATTATTAAATTTGTTCTCGTATAATGTCTCTTCTATTACAAAAATCCCTTCTTATAAACTGCATTAGAGGTTTGCAACAACCACATTATTTCCAGTTATTTAGATTTAAATTTTACTGGGTTCATTGCTCACCATTATTTCTGGTATATTGCATCCTTCCCTCGCTTTATATTCTGGTCTAATTTTCATTTGGCTGGGTTGCTTCCTCAAGTTATGGTTTCAAAAATGGAAGGAGATCATAAGGTTAGGTCCTCACCTTTCCAAATTGTCTTTTACATTTTATAGAAGAAATGATGAGTGACTTGCCTAAGACCACACAGAAAATAAATAATGGAGCCAAGGTTGAGTCCAGATCTCATAGGAACCACAGCTAATACCACTTGAGGAAGACCTCTTTAAGGAAAGGAATACAAAAGTTTGGATTCAGGTTGAGTATCTTTATCCAAAATGCTTGAAATCAGAAGTGTTTTGGAGTTTTTTTTCCCAGATTTTAAAATACATGCATATATGAGATATCTTAGGGATGGGTCCCTAAACACAAAACAGTTATATTTCATATGTATCTGTACATTTTAGTGGGCTTGTGTTTTGACAAAAGTCCGTCACATGAGATCAGATACGGAATTTTCCACTGACAGTATTGTGTTGGTACTCAGAAAGTTTCAAATTTTGGAACACTTCAGATTTTAGCTTCCCGATGTTCAACCAGTATACAATTAGGTGAGAAAGTGAATATTTACCTAGAAGCAGACAAAAGGAAAAAATACAACACACAATCCAAGAAGATAACATATTTTTTTTACTAACTGATGCAGTTAGTTTTTTTAAAAAAAGACTTTTTTTCCCATGATGATTAAAAGAATTTTCTACTCAATGAAGAGCCTACAGAATTTACATCTGTGAAGTTGCTGCCTCCTCCCTGTGCTCCGGGAGTTGGGTGGAGATGGTGTTAAATCTCCCTGCTAGATCCTCAAGCCGTAGTGAAGTCCAGCAGTGACAAGTGCTGACATCCTGATGCCTGGCCTGAGTTCCTGTTGCTAGTAACACAGGCTGGGGCCCCTCAAGAACTAGGAGCCAGGAGCCAGGATTGGCAATGCCTGGAACAGGCAAAGGGGATCCTGTGACAGCCACATTAGGAATCTGATTAAAGACACAGATGCTTCATTTAAAGTTTTAATTTAAAGGCCACACACCCGGGGATATAGCTCAGTGGTTCAGTGCCTGCCTGGCAAGTGCAAGGTCCTGAGTTTGATTCCCGGTACCATAAAATACCACATACATACAAACATATACAACTGGGCATACAATTTTAGAGGTTAAGGGCTCACCAAAGTCCAGGTGTTGACTGCCTAAAAATCCATGATCCCAGATCAAAAACCTTCTGTGAAGGGAAAAGACCAGAAAGATGGAGATAATTTCAGCTTAGACCTTGAGTTTGCCACTTATTCACAGCATGGCCCCGAGCAAGCGGCTTGACTCCTCTGGACACTGTTTCTTCACTCTGACGTGAGGCCGGTCAGGCCTGTGCCCCGTCTCCCACAGGTTGTGCAGACTGATAAGACTCATAGAACTGTTCTGGCTCATAGGACAGCACTTGATGATCAGGAGTTGTAAGTTTCCTTCCCTTCTCCTGTCGCTGAAGGAATTTAACAAGCACATGGAGTAGGGGGTGGGAAGGGACAAGAAAGGGGGGAAGTGGAAAACAGCACCTTTCCCTGCCCTGTCCACAGCGCCACTGTCCCCTAATCTATCCTCCACTGTCAGCCAGGGCTCAGCTGGCCTGCCTTATCTCTCCCTACAGCCAGCTTGGGACAGCTTTTCTCCACCAGATTTACATTTTTATTGATTTTCTTTCTCCCTTCCAGAGCAGTTCCTTTCTTCTGTTTCCCCCTCGCCTATAAAATGGGCTCACCTCAGGGTGAAGCAGTTCTGAGGCTAGGTGAGAAGTGATGACTCAAAGACAGATTCATTTCCCACTCCTTCATTCTTTCATTCACTCATCCAGCCAATATATCCTACATGTCTGCTCCGTGCCCAGTGCTGGCACTGCTGGGGACACAGCCATGTGTCAGACACAGCCTGCTTTCAGATTTCTCATGTAAACAGACTCACTGACAAGTAGAAACACAAGCACAAGTAGTCACTCGGTAAAGGGAACAAGAGGAAACCAGGAGCTCTTCCTGGGGCCAGCTGGAAAGACTTCCTGGCAGGGGGAATAGCAGAACTATTAAAGATTAGGTAGGGCTTCCCCAGGTGGGGAAGAAGGTACCAGGCAAGGGTGAGAACAGGATGAGCAAAGAGAGATAGCATGGGATGTCCCAGATGTGACGACAAGAGCATCTGTGTGTGCAGCACATTCAAGAGACAGAGGGGACTAAGCCTTGAGTTCTGACTAAAGGCTTTGGATGCTTTCTTGAGGGCAAAGAGAAGCCCTTGAAGCACTGATTGATGGGTTATTCCATTGACTGGTTATTTTAAGCAGGTAGTGACATGACAAGATTTGTGATTTAGAAAGGCAGGTGGCTGCACCATGGGGGCCTTGAGTGGTAGAGAGAATCTAGAAGCTAGTAGCTCATGCAGGAGGCAGGAGCAATAATCAGGAGGAGCAGGAGCCCTTGAACCAGGTCAGGAATGGCATCCTAGAAGTGGAACATCTCAGCTGAGTCTTGAAAGATGAGTAGTAGGAACATACTTGGTGGAGAAGTTGGGAAGGATGTCCAGCCTAAAGAAATGGCAGAGATAAAGGCTCAGCACAGAAAGTTCTTGGCAGGCTGAGGAAATTTCCATTGGTTCTGTGGGGTTGCAGCATGGCTGAGGGTAAAGCTGAAGGAGTAGGTTGGGGCCTTCAGTGATGCTCAGTGTTCTGTTTCCTAAGCGAACCCTGAGGGAGGTAGCAAGGGCACCCTACTCTCGTGTACAAGAGGAGCTGTGTAGGGATCGGGGAGCTAGGTGAGATGCTGCTTCCTCAAACAAACTTCTCCGTGATCTTCCTATATAGTAGATTAAGAAACTGAGGCCCAGAAGGTGCAAGAACTTCCCCAAGGCCACTCAAGAGCCTATGTATCCCTTCTTCAAATCCCCATGCTGTTTCTCGTAAGTCTGTTGTCCCTCAGCCACATACACAACAGATGTAGTAGGTATTGGCTACCCTCGCTGGGATTTTTTAAGGGAGGAAGAAAAACACACCAGAGAAAGAGATTTCTTCTTCATTTGTTCACATTAAACTGGGGATATCCCAGTTAAGAAAACAGAACCAAGTGCCCTCTGCTTTGGAATCCCATAATTAGGAAGATAAATTCCAGCTCTACCATATACCAGGTACGGAAAGTCACTTCACCACACCTGAGCCTTGGTTTCCTCATCTGTTAAAGGGAAAAACAAGCTCCAACCATCAGAAGTGGTGCAAGGACTTGATGTGACAGTGTCATACTCTACAGTAATTATCTATTGCTGAGGAATGAATTACCCTAAAATTTAGCAGCTTAAAACAACAAGCCTTTATCATCTCACACAATTTCTGAGGGTCAAGAACTCATTAATGGGTTCACAGGGTGTTGCTGACTCAGGATTTCTACACAGGAGAGAATCGAGCACCAGCCAGCATTGACAGCATCAGAAGGCTAAGCTGCAACTGGAGAACCTGCTTCCAAAAGTCCCCTCGGTTCTTTGCTGACAGGTGGCGAAAGGCTTCTCTTCTTTTTCACATGTACCTCTCCATAACGCTGCTCACCACTGCCAGCTCACTCTCCCTAGACTGAATGGCCCAAGAAAGAATATATGCTACCAAGATGGAAGTTTTTTATAATCTAATCTTGGAATGACATGCTAGCCTTTGCCATATGCAGTGAGTCAAACAGACTAGTCTTGGTAGTATGCAGAAGAAAAATGCAAAAGTGTCTGAATGTTAGGGCAGTGTGGGTCATTGGGAACCATTTGGAAGCTGGTTCTAGCAAGCATCCTGAACAGTGCCTAGCACACAGGAAGTACTTGTTCACTAGTAGGTGCTATTACTTTCAAAATGATCACAGTCATAATGGGAAAACAAGATGTGGATATGAAAAAAATGAGACAGCATGGCCAAGAGGAACACAGCAAAATGAGACAATTCTTGATTACATGGTAGAAGAGGGTGTTCTGGACAAAGGATGGTAATGAGGGGAGATTTCCAGGCAGAGGTAACAAAGAGAGGAGGGTAATCCACAAAGAAGACAGGTGAGTACGACCAGCTATTTGGTTGCCTTCCCTCAGCCAGTCTCCTCTTCCCTATTGCGGTAGATGACCACCCCAAGGATGATCTAAGCCAGCATTAGAATGCCTTTTCCTTTGCCAGTAGTCATCTCAGAATAGACATGTGATTCATTCGGACCAATGAGATGTAAGGACAGTCTTCTGGGACAGCTTTCCTCTTGGATGAAGGAATAGCTGAGAGGATAAGAACCCTTTTTACTACCATACCCGTCCTACTTGGCATCACACTTCATGCTATATCAGCCATCTTGTGAACACAAAGAGAATCTTCCCTGAAGCTTAGAATGGGGAAAGCCTAGGTCATCAGAGACATTGTTGAATTCCCAGACCAACCCTGGCACCATTTTCTTATGGCCTCCTTGTTTTAAAAAAGAAAAGATTTAAGCCTCTCTGAGGTCAACTGTCTCTTCCTTAGACCCTAACTAATTTGATGAGTACAGTACCCCCATTCCCCCTGAGGTTGTTTTCTTTTTCTGAGGAAGAGAGAGAGAAAAAGGCAGTTTGGAAGGTAGAAGTCCTTGGTCTGACCCCAGTTCTGCCTTTTAATTGCTCTGTGATCTTAAGCAAATCCCTTCCTCTACTGGGCCTCTAATAATTATAGCTAATATTTATTGACTGGTTGCTCTGTGCCAAGCACTCTGCTAAGAACTTCCCTTGCATTATCTCATTTATCCTCACATTAACTCTATTATGTCAGTATTACTATTCTCTTTATTTCATGGACAAAGACTCCGAAGCCTGCAAAACATAAGGCTAATAGTGCTGGATCTCTGGAT